GTGTGTGTGTGTGTGTTCAGGAGATAACCGCAGTCAGTGGGTTCGAGTCCGCCTGCAGGACGGCTCCGTTCATTTCTTCCACCTGAGCAGACTGGAGGGCAGCTGGGAGCGGCCCCCCGGCTTCGTGCACAACAGCGTCTTCTTGGATCGCCACGACATACAGGTGAGACACACCTGAGGCTTACCTGCTCACTTCCTTGTCAAACCAGAACAGTGTTTCTGTGCTTGGAAAGTTTGATTGGCTACAAGCTCGCTGTGCCACTTTCCCCCCTGCAGGAAGTGGTCAGCAGCGTTTCGGCCCAGTACAGTCGCGGCGTGCTGTGGCGGAACAGCGAGGCCCTCGTCGTTCGCCTGCAGGCGCTCTGTCGAGGCTTCCTGATCAGATGGCGGATGACGGCACGACGTCACTTCCTGATGAATCAGACGGCCGCTGTCGTTGTCATCCAGGTGAGCGTGAGCCCCCTTGGAGAGCTGAGGCTCGTCTGAGAGCTACAGGTGTGTCACAGGTGTGCTCTGCTCTGTTCAGTCTCACTGGAGGAGGTTCGTCGAGCAGAGGGTCTACAGACGGCGCCTGCAGTTCCTCTACATGAACTGGAGAGCTGTCGTCAAGGTAACAGCTGCTGTTCCTAATCACTGAGATTAGATTAGCAGGTGCAGCTCACCTGATGAGCGTTATTCACGTCGTCCGCTTGTGTGAACAGATCCAGGCGTTTGCGAGGATGTGGTTGGCGAGGAGACGATATTGCGCTCGGCTGAGTTTCTTCAGACGTAACGTGAGTTGTTTTTTGTTAACGTTGTCTGTTTTATTGAGAAAGCAGTCGAACATAACAGTAGTTTGACTTTTTACAGTCTTTGCTTTTTTAAACTTGTAATTGAAAAGAGAAAAAAACAAAGAGAAAAAAGAACGAAAGAAACACACGGGTAGGTAAGTCAGCATCTTAATATTGAAATGGGAATTCAACTCAGGGCTTCAACGTAAAGAAAATCATGGTTCATAAAAATGATTTTAAGTTTTGATCAAAATCATTTCTGACCTGTAGATATCTAAAGAAGTCATCTCAGCCTAAATCATGTTTCTCCTTAAGAATTCAAAGCTTTGGCATATACCTTTATACCTTTTGAAATCCTCTTGAATCTATTATCGTACTGATTCGGGGTAAAATCTGAATCATATGCACACAATCTTAAAACCTTGGAGGCATTTTCCAAACTGCAGATTCTGATTACTTCTTTCAGAGCAGATGTCATTATTTGGGTGCGTCTGCCATGTGTATTTTATTCTGTAACTTTATGTCCGATATTAAAGCTGTAACTGGTTTTCCTTTAACTATTGTTCCTTCAACATCTTTATATCAGTGGTCTTAGCTGTGCAGTAATATTCTCGTAGACAGGGAAGCCCACGACCTCCGTTTTCTTTCTTTAGTTGGGGCGTTTATATTTAACCGTTCCAGATGTGTTTTGAGAACATCGTATCCACCACACAGTTTGTGGTATTAGTAATCGGTAAAGACTGAAACAAATACAGCAGTCTGAGAAGAATATTTAATCTGATTCGATCCTGGAGTGTATGGTATTCCATCTTTGTCTGATTGTATAGGTTCGTTTAGCGGGGCGTAGTTGGCATTGAACATTTTGGTGAGGTCACGATGTATTACCACCCATAGGTACCTAATTCTGTCTGCATCTCACTTCCATTTATAGCGATTCTTAATTTCGACTGGTGGTTCATAGTTTAAAGTTAATACTTAACCTTATACTCTGATAACATTTCCATGGTTTGGGGGAGTGCCTGTGAGGGATAGGATATCGTTAATAGTAAGTTGTCGGCAAATAGTGCTGATTTCTGTTCCCCTCCTGTTGTTCTTCCTCCAGTTATATCCTGTCTCTGCCTGATCCACTGACTTAATGGTTCTACAAACAAATGGTAAATGGCCTGTATTTATACAGCGCTTTACTAGTCCCTAAGGACCCCAAAGCACTTTACACATCCAGTCATCCACACATCCACACACTGGTGTTGGCAGCTACGTTGTAGCCACAGCCACCCTGGGGCGCACTGACAGAGGCGAGGCTGCCGGACACTGGCGCCACCGGGCCCTCTGACCACCACCAGTAGGCAACGGGTGAAGTGTCTTGCCCAAGGACACAACGACCGAGACTGTTCAAGCCGGGGATCGAACCGGCAACCTTCCGACAACAAACAAAGCAAACAAAGCAAACAAAGCAAAAAGCAGTGGTGAAATACTGCAGCCCTGTCGTGTCCCGCCTTCCAATATAAGTGGTTCAGCGAGGTCTCCATTGATTTTGATTTTAGCTGTTGGATTATTGTATAGCCCTGAAATAATATCAATTACGGATTTATCAAAACCAAAATTCTCAAGCACCTTATATAAAAAGGACCACCTCACTGAAACGCCTTCTCAGCATCTAAACTTAACACTAAGGTCAAATTTTTGTTTATCGACCTGCCTCGTTATGTGCCAAACCTTTCTGATGTTGTCCTGTTTCTGTTCGATCATTATGTATTAACCCAGGTAATATAGAGATGATGGGTGTGAACAACTTGTGATCAATATTCAGGATGGTTACTACATTCTAGTTTATAGTAACGTGAGTTTTGCTGATGTCACTCTCACATGACTCGTGGACTCAGATACTCTCAGCATCTCATCAAGATCCACCTGTGGGGTCCTGATGCAGTACGTAGGACGGTGTGTACAACTGCGTCAGCCAGTCAGACAAAATCTCCTGTTTCCACAGTAACGGTTTGTGTCCACAGGTGGGCGCCGTCGTAAAGATCCAGGCCTTCTTCAGAGCTAACCGAGCTCGCGAGCAGTACAGGATGCTTGGTGAGTTCACAGATGCCTCTGATTGGTCAAGCTGCCGTGTCATCGATGACTCATTAATAAGACCTCTTCCCCCTCACCTGTTTTAGTGCACTCGGCCACTCCCCCTCTATCTGTGGTCAGGAAGTTCGTTCACCTCCTCGACCTCGGGGATGGTGACATCAGAGAGGAGGCGGAGCTGCTGCGTCTGAGGGAGGAGGTGGTGAGAAGCATTCGCTTCAACCGACAGCTGGAGGCCGACCTGGACCTGATGGACCTGAAGATCGGGCTGCT